AAAAAGACGAAGAAATTATGATGAGTTTGGTCTAATTATCCAAGTATCATTTTTTTTTTTTTTGGTATTAACAATTACCTAAGTATTATGAATGAAATGATAATGTAACTAAAAATATTAAAAGATGCGATGCTAGGATATAAACATAATAATTTAGCGAAAGATGTTCTTAGAAGAGCAATTTTATCATTAAAAAAATGGCTTAAACTACTTGATAATGTTTCCAGATGATTATAAAATTAAAACTTTATTTTCCAAGAAATTTAAATATTTTATGTTTAATATTGTTATTGTTAATCAATTTATTATTATTTATAATTTCATGATTTTTTTCTTAATTTAATTGTTTGTAGTTGAGACTATAAACTATTTAGTTTTAATGAATAACACTATTTTAATTAGATTTAGATATATATAATTTTATTTGTATATAATATAATTAATAAAAAATAATTATAAAAAATGAAAATAAGATTAACCCGCATGTTAACCTATAACCTGTTAAGGTTGGGTTAAGATTAGAGTTTTACATTCCGCAACCCGTTCATAACCTAACTTGTATAATCCGTCACCCGAGTTGACCGAATCCGAACCCAAACCTGACCCAACCCGTTCATTTACTAGGTCTAATTTTAATTTTTTTGTCTAAGCTTTGGGTCCCATATTTATTTTCATTGCCGTGTGAGTTTGCAAAATTATTAATTTACTTGACGTGGAATTATAAAATAAAAATTTTGTAATGGTAATATATGTCACGTTATGCTTAACTGTTAGAAGAAAAAAAAATATTTTTAAGAGTCAAGGAATGAAAAAAAATGTAAAATAAATTAAAAGATGAAAATAATGTAAAATTTTAAAATTAAAGGAGTTAAATTCACATTTAACCTTATTAAAATGACATTTCACAACAAATTTTCTTCAATGTAGTAAATTCAAGATGAGAAAGCAGGTTTTCAATCTGAACTAGCAAAAGAAAATTTGTTATTGAAGAAAGTAGAAAAAGTTGTACCAGGTTGTTCTTTAAAATTGGATTAAACGCACATATGCATATATAGAAAATCCAGTGCGTAAAAGTAAATGGTGCCTACGTATCAATATCAATCAGTTTCCCAATATGTGTTTGATTCTCTAAGGATGAAAAGTAGAATATTAAACTCACAAGAATTATAATTTAACTAAATATTAAAAATAATTAATTTAAAATTTATTTAAATAATAAAAAGGAAAGAATTTATAATTAAAAATAATTAAAATGAATATAACTAAG